ATGAAAAACTATTAAAGATGTGATAATTTGATATGAAGATGATCGTAAACTGTGTCGAGAGAGAGTTTAAGGTTTCGTCTGTAATACAGGGGACGCAAGGTAATTGAAAAAATATAATTTTAAATTGCAATTTTAATATTTACCGAAGCGTGCCGTAACTTTGAAGTTCAACTAGATGTGAGGGACACTATATGCAGGGTGTATTCACAATTAAATTACATCGATTTTGCGAAAGTTTTATAGTGGTCCGCAGGAGCACGATAGAAAAACAATGCGTCCCTCTAGGACAAGAATCGGCGAAGCGCCTTCTTCTTAAAATAACAAGCTCATTCGCGCTATTCGCGACGAACTTGCCCCGCCCAGTGACGATTTTTCGAAAGCAGTCTTGTTTATATTCGGTGTTCTCTGCGTTTGGCGAATTGGCACCAAAGGCCATATATATAAAACGCGCCTATAATATCCAGACGTCTGCGACGGAGGTTCGAACACGGCAATAAGCACGTACGGAGGGAGCCAGCTTTATCGGGAGCTCGTTTTAAATGGTTTCGAGCAGAAAAAAAAGTGTCTACGCGACTGGGCGTCGATATGCGAAAACGACAAAAAAAACAAATTTATTTCGGGCACGCTTTCCGGCATAGCGATAACGTTTATACGCTGTTTAAGTTACCGATCGCTGCCAAATAAATAGAATAATTTGGGTAGGTGAAATTAATTGTGGGACAATTAAAATTTGTCAACAGGCAACTTCTATGTTTCTCCCCGTCGCACGGTGGTCTCAAAAATGTAATTCTCCGTCAAAAATCGCAGCACTGTTGGATTTGTACCAAAATTGATGTCTGATATGCTCAAAAAAATGTCATTTACAAGATGGCGGCTGACATTTGGCTAACTTGAGTAAAAAAAATGCCTTCTGTAAAAACCATATTGAAATGTTTCAAACTGGACCACGTAATGTTGTAATAAGTAATAAAAATAATGATCTAATATTTCTTAGGTAAAGTCTGTTCATAGATATAAGAAAGTGACTAACTGATACGAATTAAGAAAAGATCCGGGCAAGCTGAAAGAATGAAATATGGCCGAACAGGTCCGTACTTTGCTTAGAATTTAATTATTTGGGGTTTTGTTAGGAAAGATACTAAACAATATTTGTTTATTTATGTATGTATTTATGTTTAAATCTAAAATAAAATTACAAATTATTTTTATTACCCACTTAAATTACTTACAGTTATTCACCTAATATATAATATATAATATATTATTTGCAATATGGATATACGATTGTTCTGCTTTTTCTATGTTTAACAAAATTTGCCCAACTTTGTGGAGGGATGTTAAAAACTTCGGTTTCTATAAGTTTGAGGACATTGGAATTAACACGGGGAAAAATATTGTTATGACGAATAGCAGATTTCAGTTGGTGCCAAACATGTTCAATGGGATTAAATATACAGTGGTAAGGTGGAAGCCTTAAAAATGTATGTCCTAGATTTTTTGCATAATTATCGCAGACGTATTCCTTTTGTAGGTTCAAACTATATAGAACCTCAATTAATTGCTTTTTGGTATAATCTTCGTGAAAATAAATGTCGTTGTTATACATGTTTTGGATTGTTTGTTTTGTGTCACATGAGGAAGGGGTTTTAGTCAACTGTCTACTGTGATAACTTGCATTTTCCATTACAATGACGCTATTAGGATGAATGTTCGGGACTAATTTGTTTTTAACCCAAATTTCAAATAAATCAGCGGTGGTATCTTCATGGTAATGCAGAGAAGGGTATTTAGAGCCAGCATGCAAAATAGTTATTCTTTTTCCTCATTTTGATGGCGCGTTTGTTTTACGCTTATCAGTTGAGTCAACCCAACCCTTTTCCCGGGTATCATAAGTGTCGAATCAGGTTTCATCTAAGTAAATAATTGGCCTTTGTTGTTTTCTGTAAATCCCATTTTTTTTGCCATTTCCGAATTCTAAAAGATTCCGTTAAAACTTGCCTTTTCTCATTTTTTTTTTTAATCTAAAACCCATGTGTTGAATACACTTCCGTAAGGTAGTGCTGCCACATTTAACACCGGTTTCATCTTTTTCAAGCCTCCTAATTAAGATATCTAATGTAGGCACGCTTTGTTCCTCGTATAACTGGTAAATTTTATACCGTATTATATCTTGATCACTTTCATCTGCACTCGAGAAAATGTCAGCATCGCTTCTTTTTTTCTCGCTGAAATGGGATTATTCACAATTTTCCATACAGTTGATGTTGGAATATTCGTCAATGTGGCCGTTTCTTTTAAGGATGCTGGTACCACGTGCAATGATAGTCAAATAAACATTGTTTATAACTTCCTTAGTCTCATTAGAATAGTGTGTTTTACATTTGGGCGGGAGCATCTCTTGAGATACACTAGACTCGCACATATTTTGCATAATTCGCACACGATTCAACACACGCTGTATTACACACAAAATAAGAATGATTACTAGTAAACTTAACCTAAGTAGTATACCAAACTAAAGAATATTAAACACGGGTAGGTATAAAATTATTTTCTATTACGGACCACAATTTTACCTGAATTTAAATTCCGAAACTTTAGGTAATAATCTTGTTGTATTGTATGTTAATGACAACTGTTGGATAATACCATTCAAAAGCAATCTTATATCTATGAACAGACTATATCTGAATGGTAGTTTAATCCTTGGCCCTTCTCGCTACCTCTCTTATAATTGAAATGAATATAATTCCATTGAATATATCAAATATAATATAAATATTATAATATAAAAGGCATTTAAGTATTTCTACTTAAGGTAAATTTAAGGACTACTTACTAATTAGCACTCCGAATTTAAGTATTACTACTTAAGGTAAATTATTATTATTATTATTATTCTGAATCACTCTCACTCAACTCGGAATCAATTTGAAAGTCATTAACTTCGGCTGAAAATTATTACAGTTTTCTTTTTTTGAAGCTTCCTATGGCGAGTAAGTTAGGATTTTATGTGAAAAATATCTTTTTTATTATTAGGAATATCAACCCAATATTTTGGATATTGGAATGAATTTAGAATGAAATAGTTAGATGATATTTCGCATAAAATGAAACTTTAGCACATATTTTTAGTTGTTCATTCATTAGTTTATTATTGGGATTTTCCAAACGGATCAGATTAAAAATGAAAGGTATCTGCAATATTGTGGAGTTTCTATATCTCGTTACTTTCATCCCTTCTCTTGTTTGACGCTTTTATCTAATGTGATTTTAACAACCTCTTGTGCTTGTGATTGAATGAAATACATCCCACCCTCTTCATATGTACTTTTGAATTTTTCCAATCATTTTAAACATTTTATTTGCTGTCCGAGCGTAGAGTTCATTGCAACAGTGCATTTCAGCGGCATCTTCAAGAACAACTGATCAAGACAGTTTTAATTTACACGTATGCGAAGCGGCGTTTAGTGCAAATATTCCCTGTAATAAGGTACACAATAAATTTAAACAGTTTTTAGAAAAAATTTGCAACAAAAATGTACCTTATGTAAGTTCCACTTACAAAAATGTAATTCAAGACAAAATTGTGGTCGCTACGTTGCGAATTTATGAGTTGATGTTCTGAATGAAAATGTTTTTAATAGCTACAAAACAGTTGCAAGAAACTAACAGTATAGAGATTGTTCTATTTGTAAATGAAAGCTTAATGTTTTTTTTTTGCTTCAGATATACTACCAACTGATAAAATACTTCTTTTAGTCGCCGTTCACGTTACGTTATATGAAATGAGAAGAAAATTTTGTATCAACAAAATTATTAGAAAATGCAATTTTTAAAAAATTTCTGATGGAGAACCAATAAACTTGTTAAAAATTCATACCTTTCAATATCTTGACTTGAAGATTAATGGCCGTAGAGCACTTTCAAAACAAAAGGTTCATTTAATCATTTTAGTATGTATTGGTGAAATCGACTTTGATTAATTTTTTTTTCTTAGAAATCAGAAGTGGGATAGAAGTTTATTAATAAAACATTTCAGGTTAGTTTGTCAGTTGATCCGTGTGGTTGGAAAGTAGCCCAACTCCATTTATATTTGAATGAAAATATTTAAATTTGATCTTTATTGAAAGCCCAGTTAGCACTCAATTTATTAACCCCTAGTGCCCGTGGTCAAGCATTTTTTTCCAATATTCAAAAGCTTCTCTTCGTCAATCATATTTCCGCACAACATTATAGTCGATCTTTCTTTTACCGTTCTGCTCTAAACGTTAAAGTTTTGTCTAGCAAAACTATAAAATACATACCACTTTCATCTATCTGCATTGAAAATATGCATTGATTTGTATGCCGATAGCATAGATGACATTTTTTCTCGAAATTGGTTCACATCATCCATATTAACGTAGACCTACTCATCAAAGATACATTTGAAGCTAACTTCATGTTTGTAGCTATTTTTGTAGCATCCATCAGATTTACTAAAATTATAGGCCACTTTCAAAATAAAAGACTCATCATTGATATTCAATCAGCTGTGATTCATTTTTATTGTCATACAGATCAGAAGTGGGATAACTTGTTATTTCAACATTTTTCTAAAAAAGTATATAATGAGAAAAATGGTGATAAAATAAGAAATTAAAACCTTTTATTATTTAATTGAATCTAATTGTACACCGCCTGTGTGTTTAAAAATGTATGTTATACGGGGCGCCCATAAAAATTATGGAAAAGTTTTGGAATAAAATTTTGAAACACCAAAAAAGTTCGTTGCTCTTCGGTTAGCTAGTACAATGTAACACCCGCTATAATGATAATATATTTAATTTTGCTTTATGGCGACTTTAGCGCCGTCAACAATATGCCGTCGAATTCCGAAAGTGCGTCGCGCCTTTCATTGGCCTTTTTTTTTTACGTCGCCGTAAAGCTCGAAATGGCCGTCGTAAACATTCCCGTCGGCGCGACATGCGACCATTGTCGATTTTCACTTGTTTCAGGAACCATGTGAGTGTCGACCTACCCTCAACTTCTAAACTCGACGCCGTTAACGCCGATGGCGGCCACCACTCAGGGCGAGATCAGGGTGGGTCCCGGAAACCAGGTAAAGGACATTTATGTACGTTGACCGAAAAAAAAGAACGCACAAACACACACGGTAAAATTCAAAATTTCCCGTCTTCTATCTTCTTTTTTTTTGTAAGCGTCGTTTCTGTCGAGCAAACTTCACCGCCGCTTTTGGCGTCGGATCGTTTTAGTAAAATGGCGGCATAAACGATCGAAAACGTTATAACGCTTGTTATGAATTAAAAATGAAAATGTAAGTGTCCGATACTTTGCAGACTGAATTCTAGCATACGTAAATTTTCTAACTGTGCCGGCCAATCAGAACGCTGCGGTTCGTTCGGACGATACGTGTTTATGGGTACAGCGCACTTTCTTGACGTATTATAAACATATTACATTTAACGCATAAAATTTCAATATTTTAGGTCGTAATTGAAAAAAAAAAAGTTTGCTTTTTTATTTAGGAGACCGATAGAACCATATTTTCCAAAATCCGTGGTTCTAATTTTTAATTAAAAATAAAACTATCCAAATAAATATTGTTATCAGTTATATTATCAAAATAACTTAACACAAGAGTGGACAATACTCCAAAATTGTACGCTTTTGACGCTTTTACTCTTTCTTTTATGCTCAAAAGTACTTTCTCTCAATAATCTCCCATCATATTTTCATTGTACTGCTTCGATAACTGCAGCCTTATTTTTTTTTTAGCATATTATCAACCAACTTTTCGTAGTTTTTAAATGTGTTATTTCCTGAAAATCCAAAAACTACTGTTTTAAAACTGTTCGGACCTCCGTTGAACAATCGATTCAAATTTTACGTAAGAAGCCCTTCAGTAGTGTAAACTATATCTCAGTCTAAGGGTTTTCTTTTTATAACTAACTTGTAATTCCAAGTGAGAAAAAATATAAAAATAAAATAACCTAAAATTATGTTTGAAAAAAAAACTAAAATAAAAAAAATGAAATAAAGCTTTTGCACCCTTTTTTACTTTAAGAATAATTAAGAAACCAACCTGCGAAATATCGGACACTTCTTAAATAACACCCTGTATTCTCTCCACTAAAAAGTAAATAAAACCATACAAAGTATTGCAGAACTCAATAGAAAGAAATTAAAAAATTAATAGAAAAAAAATCGTTTTTTATATTAATTAGTCCAAACCTTTTGGTCGATTTGGCAGAACAGATGTTTTGAACAGATATTATTATTTTCAAATGAAGCAATCACAAAATTACAGTTTTTTGTATCTACCTTCGTCTTCGAGATGAAAATTAAGAACTGTGGGCCTTCATGTTCCTGGGAATTTCAAATAAATCGATTTATTATTATTATTATTATTATTATTATTATTATTATTATTATTATATCATTATTATTAGGTAAACTCAAAAATTTTAAAATTGATTCTCATGAAACTGGGCACACTTATTTGCGGTCATTTATTGATTAAAATTAAAATCAAATTATTTAGTCCAGGTGTTTAACTAATTAATAAAAAACTTTGATACCGCAAGTGGATATACACGTTTATATGAAGAAGAAAAAAATATTTTTTTAACGTTTTATATTTTGACAAATTTCTTCCAATGTCGTTTATGCCGTGGCGAAATAAAGTTGCCGCCTTAAGCGGCGGAGCCCTGTACATAAAAAAATTCTGTCTGGCATGATTCTAATTGGCAACCTTGCACGTGTGTCGGGATTTAACATTTCTTATTGGAGCATGACCGTAGACAGTGTTTTCTATAGGGTTGACTTGACCATCAGTCAGACGGGTGGTCTATGTAGCTCTAGTTGGTACCGATAATAATATAACGCGACTTAGGTTTGTACAGTACTTGCCCAGATCGAAAAATAATCGGCCTTATGGGCGGATCGACGCCGCCCCTCCCATGGGCGGGGTCGATTGCGGGCGTGGCCGGAGTGGGGATACTATTGTGTGCGTTATATCGCTACTTACACGTGTTCATAACTTTTAGATTAGATCTTTGTTTATTTTCGTCGGCTGCCGGTTTTATTTTTCGGCCTCTGGGCTGTCGCGAGTAGAGGTTTAGTATTATCTGATGTTTTTTCACCAAAATGGAAGTGCATTTGATCGAATCGTCTCACGTTACGTTTAGGCACGATTGCCGGAATATAGACCGGGCGTGCCCGCCGAACAACTATCCCCCGATCCGGAAGACACCCACATCAGGGAGGAACTCAGGTAAGGTTTTATTCACATTTCCCACTCTGGGTAAATCTGGCTAATTTAGCACCCAAAATTTAAATGGTTTAGTTTTATTCATTTTTAAAGAGACATTTCGAAATTTGCTGATATGTTTTTTTTGTGAGAACTTGTTCAAATATTTCAAATGAAAAAAATATTAAATGATCATATTGTATTTTAAAGTGTTAAGTAAACTGAATTTTCATATGCAGCTTTGATATTGGAAACAGATTTTAGTGTCCATTTTTGCATTGCATTTTTTGCAAAGCAACTGGTAGTATATTACCTTTTTTGCTTATAAATTATGTCTATCATAATTTTCAAAAATGAAGCAAATTAAAGTAAAAAAGATTAAGGACTGATTCAGCAAAAAATGAATGTAAATCCTCGCGAAACCTTTTTACTAGGACTTTTAGAAACGAGAAAAAAAAACTTACCTATCTAACTTATAAATGTCGCTCAAGGGTTTCTGGAAGACACTGAACTATTGCTGCAATCCAACCGATGTTTGTAACGCGTCCACATTTACTCAGAAAGTGTTTCGCCTCCTGTTGGTGAAGAGCAGGCTAAAAGAAGAGATGTGATTTCGGAGTTGTATTTGGATCGTGTTTATTGCGGAGTTGTTAATCAGCTTTGCAAACGTAACAGGGGAACCTGTGGAAAGAATAATATGCAGAATTAAGTCAAACGCAAAAGGTGTGAACGGCATCAGTCTAAAAATATTTTCTTCAGTTTCCCCTCACCTGACACCATCATTGACGTTTATTGTTAATCAATGCATTATTACCTACAAATTTGCTTTGTGGTGGAAAGAGGTTAATATAATACCTCTTCCTAAGATTTCAAAATCTGAAATCTCACATTTTCGCCCCATTAGCTTACTCTGTGTAATGTCTGAAATATTGAAGATTATATGTGATCAATTTAATAATCATGTTGCTGATTCAAATATTTTGGCTGTCTCCCAACCTATGTTATTTATTTATTTATTTTATTAATTTAGCACTTGGCTATTTACATAAGCAAGTAAAATTTTGCATAAACAAAACTATAAACTTCGCAAATACCCCGTAAGTCTCTTCTTGAACACTCTTAATATTATCCGGCAGTTCATTAAAATTACAAACACCATCGTAGAATAGAGTTTTCTGTAAATTTGTTGTTTTTACCATAGAAACATTGAAGTATTGATTGGAACGTACATTATATTGATAAAAATTTGACCTTTTTCCAACCATAATTTAAGATAGCCTGGTTGGTGATCGTGCGCAAGTCCAAAACTAACCAACATTAAACTTGCTCTTCTAATGAACTGCCCGACATTTAGCCAATTTAGCTGGTCTAACATACTCTTTATAGGAGTATATCTATCACAGTTCAGGATGATTCTCATAACCCTATTTTGTTGTAACTGTAACTTATTTAAATCTTCTTTTGTACAAGATGAACAAACATATGAAAAATGAGGCAAAATTATACTATTATACACTAATATCCTAGTCCACTGCGATAAAAACCGCGATACACGGTTAAAAAGTCCTATTTTCTTACCAATTTTTTTGCTTAGATATTCAACATGATTACTAAAGCATAATTGTGGATCCAAGATCACCTTTTAGAGCTTAGAATGAGTCAAAAAAATACCTTTTACATTTTCTTGAATTATAACAAATTAATTAAACCATAGTCTTCTTAAAGTTAAAGTACTTCGGTTTAAGCCACACTGCTATTACTTTCATAAGAAGCTACTTGGGAGGTCGCCGGCAGAAAATTATGTTGGAATCAGTATTGTCTGACTTACTATCAATTTTAATGGGAGTACCTCAGCATCTAAATAGATATATTGGCATCAGTATACTGATGATATGCTTATCATTCTCGATTATTGACGTCGCCTTGTATTTGAATGGCATAAATGAAGATCTTGAAGTGGTTTCTAGAATCTCCAAAGCCCGTGGTCTGATATTAAATGATTCCAAAATGCAGGTTGTTATTTTTGATTTGATTTTTTTTTAGGAGTCTTTCCTGTCACTTGTCTTATTTAAAACTGAAAGTACTTTACATGTATAAAGACTACTTATCTACTGAGATTAGACTCAAATTGTGTGACTCTCTCATACTCTCTCTATTGGGATATGCGGACGTTGTATATTAGGTCTAAGACGGAGAGACCAACACAGCTTATAAAAAAAGCAAATGTCTATCTAAGATACAATTATGGTTTACGTAAATTAGCTAAATTAGTGTTTATATAGCTGCATTATCCATATATTTTTTATGTAACATATTCGATGGCTCTATTTGCAATTTTGTTATTTGAGTATATTTTTTTGCAAATTCTGTCCTTGATTTAAAAAATAACTGAAATCACCGTAAAAAGAACTTTTTTTAATCTAAAATAATAAACGATTTTTCAATTGGGACGGGTCCAAGTCGACAGTTTGTGGCTGCCGTGTTCTTATGGCAGCAGTTGTTCAAGCTGTTGTTCATTACATCTCTACGTCAATGAAACGTATATCACGGCTATTCGTGCAAGTGTGCAGGAGAACCCTGGGCCGGACAATCTCTCGCCAAACACAAGAACTTGGTCTTTCCCAGACTTCAACACGGAGAATTTTGGGTCTGATCTGAACTGAACTGAACTTTGGAGCATTTACAAGAGGATCCGAATTTTGACCAAAAATTTTCTTTAGCGACACGGCGCATTTTTTGATGAATGGTTATGTTAACAAACATAGTTGTTATATATAGGATGACGCCAACCTACGTGAGGTTCATGCAATATAGCAATGCATCCACAGTAACTGTTTTGTACGAACTTTGAAAACGACGTTGGCGAGGGCACCACCGCCGACGGCGATCGCTATAGAGCAATAATAACCAATTAATTTTCAGCCAAATTGAACGATATGGAGGTGAACAACATGTGGCTAAAGCAGGATGACTCCACCTGCCATACAGCGCACGTCACGATGGAGCGCAGAGGTGACGTGATCGTGCGATTTGGCTCCGCTAGACTTTTTCTTGAGGAGTTTTCTAATGTCGCAGGTCTATGCCAAAAAGCCGAAATCTAAAGCCAACATAACCCAAGCAATCGTTCAAATTCAGCCGGAACTATGCGCAAAAATCACTGAAAATTGGACCACTCGGATCCTTGCCACCTAGAGAAGCCGCGGCGGACATTAAATGATGTTAAATTCCATAAATAGTGGCATTCATAGGCCTCTTGAATCATAATTTAGTTAATATCTCACACACATTGACCAGCCCTTATGGTATAGTATGCTTTTTTTACATCTGTCATGCAGATATGTAATATTAAATTTACACATTACAACTTTTGTCTAAAATGTAACATAGAAAGTTTAAAGGGGTGGTAACATTTATTTATATTGCATCACTGATCATACTGTGAAATATTTCTCTACATATAAAAATGTTGTTTCTTGCTGTGTTGTGTGATTTGTGTAGTCACAAAACACATGAATAATTTTTTTTTCTTGAAAATCACATAACTGGAAACATGCCACAGAAAACTTCGAGACCATACACCTAAAAACTGACGTGGCAGTTTAATAAGGACCCTAGAAAAATCTAAAAAATCACATAACTGGAAACATGCCACAGAATATTTCAAAAGATTATACCTAAAAACTGACATGACAGTTTAATTAGGACCCTAGGAAAATCTAAAACTTCAAAACATTATACCTAAAAACTGCAATATACCTAAAAACTGACAGGACAGTTTAATTGGGACCCTAGGAAAATCTAAAAAATCACATAACTGGAAACATGCCACAGAAAAATTCAAAACATTACACCTAAAAACTAACAGGACGGTTTAATTAGGACCGTAGAATGTAATTTCCGAAGGATAGGCTGACCTAACGATGTAGCGATTGTTAAAATTTGGGTGCTAATTTGAAAGACTTGTTCACAGGGTGTGATTTTAATAGTAACGATCTTGCGTTCAGGTGGGTGCCAGCGATGACGATGGACTCGGACCTGCTAATGTACCTTAGGGCGGCCCGCAGCATGGCCGCGTTTGCCGGCATGTGCGACGGGGGTTGTCCCGAGGACGGGGCGAACGCCGCTTCGCGGGACGACACCACCATCAACGCGTTAGACGTGGTAAGGTCGTCCCGATTTGTGCCCAACGATCTATAGATAGAATGGACCGCATAAGAACAACAACCCAACGTACGGGAACCTCGTAGGATTATGCCGTTGAGCTACTTTTTATTATTTATGTTGTGCCCTTATCCAATTTAGTGATGATCAAACTCAATTTAAATCAAATTCAAAGAGCGTTTTTAAACGTAACCTTCGATTCCGCTATTGTCAGTTTCTCTTCACCCTAAGAAACAAATGCCAGTAATGAGTGAATGAATAATTCAGGGGTTGTTTTGGAAAACCATGATCTTAAGTTCTTCAACCATGATATCATACGCCTCCGGGGTTTTTCTTGATTGATAGATTTTTCCCTTCAAAATATATTTAAGGAGTTGGTTTACTAGGCCCAGAAATATGGTGCTTTTACTTTGCCTACTGTTTATTACTACAAAACCGTAGCCCCTTATGGAACATCCTGCCGAGCATGAATTTATCTACCTACACTAAGAAGTAAGTTTTCAATATTTTTCGCCGAGCACATATGATTGCGATGTTAAATCACATTTAAGGGATATAATTTTATACATCTTATTAAAAATTCGTTATTATTAAGTGTATAATATGACTTTGCTTACCATAAAAGGACTTAGGTTACTTTCAAAATAATTACATATAGCTTAAAAAATAGAAAAAAAACATTTAAATTATATTGAAATTTCAGGAAACCGTTAATATGGTTTGCTTCATCACATATTTCTCTCAACGATCCAGGCAAACGCCCACGTAAATCATGGCCAACGTTTTTAGATTTTAATACACGTTTCAATCGTCTTTCGCTTATTTGAAAAGTATCTAAAAAGATTTTTTTACAAACAGCAACTTTGCCTGTTTTAGAATTTAACCAATACATAAAACTCTCATTTCTGCATGAACTTTTCCGTTTTTCCGACGTCTTCTTTTTACAACACTGCGTCCGGTCGCTTCGTATAGCAATATATATTTTGCTTATTAAAGTCTCCTAAGTTCCAAAACATTTCGAAAATACGTTATCCTTCTGTTTCATTGAATTTTTTCAAGCAGTCTTTTTGGCATTTGCAATGTTCATGTTGAAAAACTTTGGCAGGAATAATTTTCCCCGATTGTGTATCGCATCTTTTCCCAGAGTTCCGTTTATTTTTGCGAATTTTCTGAATATGAGTACCACTTCTGTATTCTCTGAATCCTCCTTGGAAGGTGCTGTCTTGTAATTTCAATTTAATGTCAAAACGTAATTTAAATTACCTTCCTCACTGCTTTCAACATTTTGGGCCGCACTTTTTGACATCGTCAAGAAAAATTGGACTTAGGTTACTTTGAAAATTAGGATTTTCAGTATTTATGTTATTTTGAAAATGTTCTAAGTATATTTCAATTCCGCTTCATTAATTATATGTTATTATAATTATATTTTGGCAGTTCAGCATAAATTGTAAATGTCACAAGTGCCAACTTGATAAAAGATGAAAATGGGCTTAAGCCACTTTCAAAATAAACGGCTCAAATATAATAACATATATAAGTAAATATAAAAATAAAAAATAAAATAATAATAAAATCATTTAAAAAATCGTCACTATCGCTACTGTCGTCATCTAGTTCAATGATCAACTCAGCCACTAATCGTTCTCGATAAATATTTTCTTTTATTACTCGTCTTCCACACATTTTTCGCAGAGCAGCTTTGTACTGGTATTTTAGCTACCTCTTGCCGAATTACGTTTATTTGACTGTCACTAAATTTTGGTTAAATGTTATTTATTCTTATATGCGCTTTCAACTCAGACCATATCATCTCAATCGGGTTAAATGATGGGGGGTAATATCTAGATTTTTTCTAATTTGGGCTGAATCATACAAGGCATTATAGATTGTTTTTTTTTTTCAAACCAATCCTCAAATATTTCAGCGGTCATGTTTTCATGGTAATCCCCATTTGCATCTTTGACGTCTTTGGCAGACAAAAATAAGGCATCTTCCACTCAAACATTTTTGGACCCATCATATCTATTATCAGTTTTCCATGTGAAGGCTACGACACACTTGTCACGGTTATCACACCATTCTCTTTTACTGTGTGGTGAGTGTCGAAGCACATTTCGTCTAAATTGCATTTAAATAATGCACCCTCCATTGCAAAATTCTTTGAGATTCCATTAGTAATTGACGTTTATTAATTGTTTGGAACTGAATGTCAATTTTCAAAAAATTACGCAACGACTCTCTGGCATAACTAATGTTTAACGCTTTGTAAGTGTTGTAGATTATACGTCTAATTAGATCTGCGTGGTGCTCTTTAAAAACTCGCGAAGTACCTGCATCTTCTCTCACTTTCCTCTTGACTATCCCATTTGCAACAATTTTTCTTACAGTTGACTTCCTCGCAAGAATATATTGCAATTTAGATTGAACTCTTAAGAACGAGACGTATCACCTGATGTTAAAATAAACACTTTTATTTATTCGAAAATACCTCTGGAAACATTAGAGTATGCAAAATAATTTTTCAAAGCGTCGCTTGCTTATAAATCAAACATGACGTAGCCTTTCGCCAATCATCCTCTGGCTTCTTCAAAGCTTAACTGAAAATAGCACGGATTCTACTCTTTACCTGCTTATGTATTGTTTGAGAGGGCGGAGTTAAAGGAGGGGCATGAACAATGTCAACACTGCGATAAAAACAGTTGAAAGCTCTCGTGGCCCGGTCCATTCTGTCTATAGCTTAATGGGCGTGACACTCGGATCGTCACTCTCTGGTTTCTAGCTCCACGACTCGGGCTACGATCCGGGCAAGGCGCTTCAGGCGTTGGTGAAGTGCCCGGTGCCGAAGGGTATCGACAAAAAGTGGAGCGAGGAGGAAACGAAGAGGTTCGTCAAGGGTTTGAGGCAGTTCGGGAAGAATTTCTTCCGGATAAAAAAGGACCTGCTGCCCCACAGGGATACGGTAATAATTATTAAATTCGCGTCGTGGGGGGTTTGTGAGAAATGTAACCTTTGGCTAGTCTACTGAACCAAACACGTCATAAAATTTTTTGAGGAGCTTGACGAATCTACGTTTAAAACTGGCATAACCAACTTAGAATACCGTTATGAGAAATTTTTAAAAATAAAGGAAAAAAAAATTGAAAAAAATCGTTTTTCTTAGTCAGGCGGGAAACTTTTCACCCTGCCCTCGTATTATCTTAAATTTTGCGTTTTACTTTACGTTAAGTAACATATATGACCATAACACCATGAAACCCATAGATAAAAGAATTTAGGTTACATAAAGCGTTTTCATGTGATGCCATATCTAAAGGGCGTTGGGTGAACTTTTAATAGAAATGATTTTTTCCAAGCAAAGTAATTAATTAAATGAATTGAATAAAATGATTTATTATATTTTGCTTCATATTTAAAATTCATGCAAGGTGCCTACTACAGATTCCAAACTATCCATACATGTCTAACAGAAGAATGTATATATTAAAAAATGCAATGCGCGCCTTGTCACACTTTCGTATACATACCGTGCGTTCAATTTATCTTGATAACATTTTAATTGGCTTAACTTTTTTGTTTTTAGAGATGTCAATGTAAACAAAATGTGAGGTTTGTAGCCAAGTTTTTTTTCCATGTGACGTATAAAAGAAAACACTATCAAATTTCTGTTATATATATTTTAGTCCACTCCTTTTTGACAAATGGGCAAAAATTGGAATTTTTTATATAATTGTAACTGCAACAACAACAATTATTTACAAATTAAAGTAGAACAAAAACACTAAAAACGACAAGATACACTGATGTACACAATTTTTTATCTATTCTAACTACCATTTTCCGGAACATATTGTCTTGCATTTAGTAACTTTTCCCGATTGTCTCTTAACTGATTGCCTCTGAAATGCTTGGCCGAAGTTCCAAGACATTATTACAAGGAGATCTGTGCACGTGATTTTTTATGTGTCCCCAAAAGAAGAAATCCATTAGAGTTAAGTCGGAGCTGTTGGCTGGTCAATCCATAGTTCCGCCGTTCCCTATCCAGGCCCTGGGATATTCCATGTTAAGAAAATTTTCAAATTGTACAACATTCTGAGGAGGGGCACTGTCTTGCTGCCATATAGTCAGCGCTGATATATTTAGGGGTAAATCTTTTATATATTGTGCTATGTGGTGCTCTAAGAGTTGCAAATAATGACCTCCAGATAACTTCTGATCTATAAATATCAGATCCAAAATATGCCCATCTGTGATACCACAACATACATTAATTGATTGATACCCCTAGGATTTTATTTCGTGTATTTGTCTAGGATTATTTAAAGGCCAATATCGCGTGTTTTGTCTTTTACAACACTTTCTTTTAGTGAACGAACTTTCATCAGTACATAAAATGTTTTTCAAAACATTGTGAGATTGTTTATCGTTAGTCTAAGGTTCTGAGGAAATAAACACAGTCCGACGTTCTGGCAAATCAAATAAGACTATATTTTTACTTATTTACACTGCGCAACCACTTCTTTTATACTTGGCATGGACAACAACAATTCGTCTACCCGTCGTTCGTCTTACAATTCGTCTACTAATCTTTCGTCCTACAATTCCTCTACTCGTCTTTCGTCTTACAATTCGTCTACTCGTCTTTCGTCTTATTAAAGAAAAAGAGGAAGCGGCACGGCTTTCCGCGTTACGCACGTCTTTTAGGTCTTTTTAGTTTGATCGTCTAATACATAATCAAGTGACCTGTTTTTAAACCTTTCGTCGGTACGCATCAAAAGTAGACCCGAACTCTCAGGAAACACCGCAAAGCGGCTTCCTTTTGTGATCGGCTCACGCCCGTAAAAGAAATAATGTAAACATAACCCTCTATAATTGAATGCAGAAATAATAAACAAAGAAATACCGCGCTGGCTAAAACTTAACTAAAGGATGTATTTTATCTACTGAATTATCATTCTCATTATTAATTAATTAATATTAAAAAATCCAAACAAAACTGCATCCTCCTTAGCTTAGCACTTAGTTTTGGTTAGTTTTGGTTGGTTGGTTGGTTGGTTGGTTCAATTGCATTATGTTTATATTCTTTGAAAACTGAGTGGATTGGTCCCCGAGAAATACCTGTCTTCATATACTCTAGTAATAAGGAAACTGAATGTGCTTCATAGAATCCTAATATGTTTGCCTTATTTTAGCATTGCCTTATTTTTTAGCATTTAATACGTTCCCATTTTCTGTAAAAAAATCTTTGCCAGCCCTGGAAATATCTGTTTTGAAGGAGCTCGGCGCTTTGGATAAAGTCTAATATACTGACGACGAGCTCTGGTTGCATTTTTATGATTCAGAAAGTATACTTGAAGCATATCACTCCTTTCACTTATGCTAAATTCGTGAAAAACCATTTTGACAATAATTACTTGGACAATAATTCAACCATCAACGTTGTTTACTAATATGTCAAACATAAACATTTTTATTTGTCAGTTAGGGTACTCTTTGAACTTATATAAAAATTTCCTATTTTTGCCGATGTGTCCAAAGTGAGTGGACGAAAATATTAAGTGTAATCGGAATAAGATATTCTATTAAAACATATATGTGTAGGCTTATATGTCAGAAAATTGATAGTGTTTTGTTTAATACGTTAATTGGGAGAAAACTTGGCTACTAACCCTTAATTTTGATATCTCCAAAAACAAAAAAGTTATAGCCAATTAAAATGTTATCAAGATAAATTGAACGCACGGTACTTACCGCTAACGTCCTGCGTGTGTGCGTCTAGCCGGAACTGGTCGAATTCTATTATCTGTGGAAGAAAACGCCCGGCGCCAACAACAACCGACCGCACAGGCGCAGACGGCAGGGTTCGCTGCGCCGCATCAGGAACACCAGGAATAGTAGAGGAGGTAATAATGCTGCATCGAACGCAGGTAAGTTGTCGGTGTCCGAGAGCGGTGGCCTAAAGAAATGCTCATATTTGGTCGGCCACTTCCCGGAAACGATCCAATCGGGGAGAGTTTATCCTCCCATCGCGAACCAGAATGCTGGGAACAAGTGGAGGTTGCAGGGTTATCGATCGATATGAGTGCGATTTGCTTATAGCGTAGGTTCAAATTTGACAGCCGCGTGCCATTTTGACATTCGAAATGTTTTTTTAAATTGCGTTGTCGTTCCCATTCAATGATTTTCGAAGTCCTTTAAAGAATTAATATAAAGTAAATATAAAGTACGTATTTTTTAAAATTTTGCGCCTTCACTATTTCAAATGTGTATTAATATGGCAGTAGTAGTAAGAGTGTTCAACCCTTAACGTAATCGCGCCGAACTGCCAGCAACTTAGTTTATATAGTACTAAGTTTTTCATCTTAGGCAGGGTCTGTGAGTCTATGAGCTTTAGTCGGTTTTCCGGTGGATAGGCTGCTAATCCGTTCCACCAACCCTCCTCCTTTTTCCACGCTTGGGACCGGCAACATGACCGCTAAGGTAGACCTATACTCACCTATGCAGTAGAAACCCGATCTGGAAACTACTTCTAAGAATAACGGGAAAAACACTAATGGGTAGGGAAAGAAGTGAAGAAATTAGGCGAGTGTACGGGATAGGTAACGTCTGTGACTGGGTGTTAGACCGAAAGATAAAATGAAATGAACGCATTGATCGTATGGCAGAAGAATGAATAGTGAAAATATCAAGGGACAAATCACCAGCAGGACGAAGGAGCCGAAAGACCTAGGAAAAGGTGAAACGACAACGTTCCAAATGACTGAATGATGGCAAAGGTGTGAAGGAAAACGGGCATTCGTGCCTATATGTAGTAGGAAGAAGAGGAAGTTTTTCTTGTGCACCAACAGTTTATTGGCATAGTCACTAATGTGTCGTGGGTGCTCAGGGTTAATCAAGAAAATCTTTATTGAATATTTAATTATTTTTAATTTATTTTAAATATTATACTTTATAAATTATAAAGTAGCTAAATAATTGTAGTAAAATCTTATAAATAATGAACACAATAAATAGAAAAATTTTATTATATTTTCTTTACTATTAGAAATTTTTTTTTTTCTCTACAAACAAGAACCCGAATGATAATTATCATATTTTTTGATCTACAGTTCATAAATGAAGAATTATTATCAACAATGTTAAGTAGTTGGGTTGAAAAACAAACTTCATCTAGATTTACAAATATTTCTCTTGCTTCGGAGAGTTTTCTAGCATACCAAGCGTATCGTATCATTTTTCATCATTTATCACAACCCAAAACCCAATATTTAAGTTGTAATAAATAGTACAAGTTGTGACACCCGGCTATTCCTTTTGAACAGTAAACGCGCTGGGATGATCGTGACGTCATACCGCTGCTTTTCGATCGATACGGAGACATGTTATAGTGTTATTCTCAGGTTATATGCCGAGAATTATATTATTTACGTTTATTTTTGGCCCGTGTAATTTGTGTTTGAATTTAATCTACGCCAGTTGTAACCACTAAAGGTAAATTATCAGATTGACCTTCGGCCATTTTCAAAACTTCTTTTTGATACTAAACACAAGGTAACAAGCCAGCGATAGAATCAAGACTAAAATTAAAATTAAAAAAAACCAGGACGCGTTGTCGATCCCTAATGACTTCTCTATGCTACCGCTGCCGCAAAGTCTAACGAGCGAATTGACGTCACAACCGGCCACAGCCAATGACAGGGTGTTTCAAAGTGGATTTAAATGTTACAATTTTTAATTGCTTATATTTGTTACATAGAACTACGAACTTTTGTTTTGGTGAACTGTGATTCTTTTAATACTTTAAAATTGCGTTTTTAAGCAAAATTTTTTAAATTAAAAATATGTTCAAGTTCTCTGTTGATCATGTACGATTGATTGAACTGAATTGAACGCAGTCTTCCCATAAGTAAATTTCTCGATTCTTTTCTATGAAATGTGTAAGTGCTTAATAAGATTTTGTACTTGTTGGCGTACATTTCGGAGAAATTACTTCCTAGTATATAAGCTAAATTTGAATTTTTAAAGGCGCTACTACGTTAAGGGTTGAATGCCCTTATGGAGAACTACTACCATGCGGAGTCTTGCCCCGTTGTGAATTTCCCTTCTTGTAAGACACTTACCAGTGTCGTTCGATAAGTCCAAAGTAATTTTTTGCTACGACTTAGTACTCTTTACAATGCAGCTCTTAAAATTTCAACTATAGCCATGAAATAGTTTAATTGTTGTCGATTGAAGTAAACTTTGGCCTATAAAAATGGATAAAGGTGAATTTGTGAAATTGGATGAATGAGTTTAAACGTGGTCGTATATCCACAAAAATTAATGCAGACACATATGACCCAGTGTTCATATAATAAGTGCGATATATAACTTTTTATGAATCACACACACAGACACTCAAGACTCACAAGATAAAAGAATAGAATAGAATATTTTAATGAAATTTGTGCTATGCATTAGGAGTTATAATTTATTTTAAATCCACCTGTGGATGGCGTACGGAATTTTGTCTATTTTGGCAAACATTGATGGTACGCCACTGATTTCTCGTTAAATAAAAATTATTCGTACAATCTCCAATTACTTCTAAAGAAATTTGATTTCTTTAAAAATCTTTTTGTATGGTCATAACAATATCGTTAGTATGCAGAGAAATTAGTTTTTATTTTTAAAACCGTGCCACAGACTAAAAAAAAATGATATCAATCTGCTCATAAGTGAGTGCAAATGTCATTATTTTGTTGAAGGAAATCAGTGGCGTGCCACTTACTGTCTATGGACCAATAATACTTTGGTTAATTTGGTTTCCACTGCGCTGGTTAAATAAAGAATTTTTTTTGTGAAAATTAAAATACCTATCTAAAACAAGATATTCCACAGATTGTGGAATTTTTTTTTTATGAGAAATCAGTTGCGTAGGGGTTGGGGGGGGGCAAGGCGGCCCTGTTGCCCTTTTTATTATTTTTTGTGGCTTTTAACTAAATTTATCCCAAATTTTGGGGAAGCTTCTGGCCGTCGTGCCCCTCTCTCCCCCATTTATAATGTTATGTAATAGTTATAATTATTTACTAAAAGAAGTTACTGATTAGTATCTATTTTTTTATCAATTAAAAAATTTGTTTTTGGTATTTATAACATTTTCGAAAGTTCCGGCTTTAGGCTAAATCGATAAAAATATCCAAAAAATAACATAAAACATAAATTCATTATGTTTCGGTTATAATAATATAGAATAGCTTTATTTAAAGAATTTTTAAGTCGTCCAATTCACCCCTGGTATTACGCAAAAATGTACAAACAACCAAAATGTATAATTATAATAACGACAGAGAAAATGTTGGTTAATTTTTGAGGTGCCCCACCCTACGCTATACTGCGATTCGGTTACAATAATATGGAATAGCTTTTTTTTAAAATAATTTTCAAGCTGTCCATTTTACCCCTGGTATCACGCAAAGGGCTAAAATTGTACAAATCACCAGACTTTATAATTATAATACGGAAATAACAAATTTTGGTTAATTTCTTAGATGGTCCTTCGAGCCCCACCCTCTGCTACGACCGCCTGGTGTATTTAAAAAAAAATGTAGTACACTAAATAATACCTCCCGACACATAATACATAGTAATTTCGTTAAAATATATTGACGTGGTATTGCAGGTATTAAAAAAATATATTATCCAGTTTTAAAATAATTAAAAATAACTATAATAAGTAATAAAAAAAAGCAGTAGGGTTCCTCCTCCTCACCGATTGGGTTTCCGTTCCGCGACACGTGGCCGCCATAATTTTTCGACCGATTGGAGTATCCCAAGGTATTTTTAGTTAAATTTGCTGATGGTAGTTTTTGTTTTTGTGGTAATACATTTCTCTTTTATAAGGGTTGTAGACGAACGGGTGCGGTAAAACAATTGAGAACCATTGAAATATATGGCGCCAATGGTTTTCGTCACCCTGAATGTTGTGGTAGGAGAATTTGTTTTTTTTTTTTGGGCATGTTTCTTCGGAAAACTCGACGAAACGAAAATGAAAAAATAAGTAAAAAAATAAAATCGATTAACACCGTAGCTATAGTTGGATCTAATATATATATTTTTAGAATAAAATGCATGGGTATTTTGCGTAGACTAGACCTAATCTTAAAATAACAGGAAAATATGAGCATTACGAAACAACTTGTAAAAGAGAATACTATAAGCCGTTCGTGAGACGAATCCTTATTTTCTGACTATTCAAAATTTTACAGTTTTTTAGGCCACCCCCCCGCGTGGAAACGTGCTGGACCCTCGGGACAGGCGACGACGACGACGACGACGCCCGTCCTGACGGCCCCTCGCGTTTTTGTAGTGCATTTTAGAATTGCGTCGTCCCTTTAGATTTTTTTATATAGTACATAGTAGGAAGCGGGACCTCCCATGGGTCAAGCGCGGGGCGAAATCGTAGAAAATAACGGAATATAAAAAAAATAGTAAGTAACTCCACTAAGTTTTTAAATTTTCTATTTTTTCTAAGATTGAGCTGAGGTGGCTTTTACTTGATGAAAATCCATTTAACAAAATAAATAAGAACTAAAAGTTCAGATTTTCACGAAATTATATATTATGACATGACAATTGTTTCGACAGCATCGTGTCTTTATCAAATGCTATATTTACAAACTACCTGGTACTATATTAACCGAAAAATGACAATAGAACAATAATTAAAGTTGTGAGAATTTAAGTTTAATAATGGAGAGGTATTTAAATCTAATTGATCGTTAAGCAATACATTTGAATGTCTCATTTTGTTAATCTCCAAAGTAATTACCAACTCCACACTATTTAGTGACAAAGACAAGTATTTTTTTTAACAATTATGAATTTACGGCCGCCGAAATTATATTCTTTGGTTAAATTACATAAACCAGATATGCCCGTTAGACCAGTCCAGACAGATCCAGTTCCACACAGATTTTAAACAAAAATTGGCAATAAAAAATTCTTTTAAATTAAATCAAGAAAATTAAGAATATCAAAATCCCTTCTCACTCGGAGACACGTTAACCCATTGGTGAAACAATATTTATTAGATTGCTTAATAGTATCTTTAAATCAAAATTATTTTAAATTTAATGGACAGATTTACATCCCTAAGGAAGGTTTGATTATGGGAAACCCACGTAGTCCTTTGTTAGCCGAGATTTTTGTGGATAATTTGGAAAATATCATACTCGAACATCCTCTAAGTAAAAGTTTTCTATGGTGGTGTAGATGCGTGGATGATATCTTTGCTTGCTTTGTTGGAACGGATAGACAACACTTTATCTAATAGAAAGAGAAAAATTTTAGCTCAAAAGGACCATATCAATATTCAAATGACACTACAAAATGTGTTTTACAAAGATTTTGATCGTAATCGAAGAGCTGCATGTATATTCAAGGATGCATTTCGAGCAAACGAAAGCAAAAAACTCTTGTTCACTTTATTAGGGTCGCTCCAACAATATACACCCTGTATATGGAGTTCTTTCCGCCGGTTACATCATTAAACAAATTGCACTGAACAACGGATACAATTCGTCCATTATAGATAAAATTATAAATAAAAAACAAATCCATCCAAACAACAGTAAACTCTATTTATCCGAATCCTAATACATAATATGAACAATTTAAAACAATTAGATGCATAGAAGGAACTCAGTGAAAAAGTTTCAAAACATGTGTCAAAATGTGGTTTTAAAATAGTTTTCAGATTTAACAACACAATAGGAAAATATTTAAAAAACAATAAAACGAAATGTCCAAAATCTCAAAAATCAGGTGTCTGTAGGTTGAAATGCGGATCTTCTAAAATTTATATTGGACAAACAGGTAGATCCTTCAAGAAACGCATTAGCGAACATGAAAGAGCGTTTAAAAACAATAGTCTAGATTCTAATTATTAACACTTAAACAGAAAAACGCTTTTTTGACGACAATTTTGATATTTTACATACAGCAACAAAAAGTAGAAAATTAATTACTGTAAGCCATGGAGATTAACAAAAATTAACAAACTATCAATTAGATTTAAATGCCTTTCTATTATTAAACTTAAATTCTCACAACAACTTTAAGGTTTTATTGTCATTTTTCGGTATATATAGTAGTAGGTAGTTTGTAAATATTACATTTGATAAAGTCACAGTGTGTCGAAACAATTGTCATATCAAAATATATAATTTCGTGAAAATTTGAACTTTTCTTATTTATTTTATTCTATTTTTTCTCGTTTAAAAAGTTTTCTCGTTCTCTTTGCATTTCCCTAATCAATCTCCATAATACAAATTTCATAAAAAACATCGACAAGAAATAGTAGAAATAAGAACTAAAAATGAATGTTGGAAACGACGCATCAAAAACAAATAAAAAATCAGTCGTCAGGCTTTTAAGTTTTATTTACTTATCAAAATTAATTGATGTCCCTTTGAAGTAATCGCCTCCCAGAGATAATACACTTGTACCAACGTTTTTTGGCAATCCTCGAAGCACTTTCTTGTATAGTCTTGAGTTCTTCCAGCGCTTGTTTCTTTATTTTCTCAATCGTTCCGAACTTCCTTTTTTTCATCGGTTTCTTGAGTTTTGGGAGCAGGAACAAGTCGGTGAATATGCTGATCGAGGCATGATTTTGGCCAAAAAGACACCACGTCAAACGATTTTTTCCTATACTTAGGGGCCTACTTGTAAGTAAATGTCATATTCATAACTTAGTAACTCCTTTCATGGCCATGGCCCGAACACAGAATATAAATTCCTTCCGGGTGTTCGTTCGTGTCTTGTTTATGTTAACATGTTGAGCCCTTACTGATAAGGATCAACCATTCTGAATTTGTTGCATTTATTATATTTAAGGTGTTTATTTAAAAGTTAACTTAGAACTTACGACAACAACCAACCATAAGCAATAGAATTTAACAAAATACTGAATACTGAATAAATACATTTTTTGCACACGAATTTACCAATTGTTGCTTACAATAATTTCCTGATTAACGCAAGAGTTTTTAGTAATAAAAATAGATTTCGCAATAAATTTTATTGTAAGAAATCCACAAAATGTTTGCACAAACCTGCCTCTAGATCCCATATTGGACTTCAAAACAAACTTTGTTTTGTCAAAATGTGGTATGTGATTGTGTGCATACTGCTCCAAATATAAAGTGTAATTTTCAAGAAGTCTGAGTTTTTTATGATACTAGCTGTACTTCCAACTGCACAAAACGAACCGTTACTTTCTATATCGTTTTCGCTTCACGCGCTCTTCCTACCGGCACTCGGCCACGTGACGGTAACGTTTCGGTACCTCAGGTCGTACCAGCGGTGCGGCCACGCCCGCTCCGGAGGCGGCGGAAAATCGACCATCTCCGCAACCCGGTGGCAAAGAACCAGGTGAGACGAGCTCCGTTACGGAGGACGACAACGACAGCGAGGACGACAGCGATAGCAGGGAGGCCCCGTTGTCGGCCTGCTCTTGCTCCCACTGTTTTACTACCAGTAAGTGACCGTTTCTCATGATACAAAGGCAAACAACGGAACCTGGATATAAAGGAGCGTCATTTGACGAGTTAAAACCCAACCTCACTTTCCTAGCCGAATGATCCTGGTAGTCGTGGCCATAGAAGTAAAGGAGAAGAACCTCACTTTCTGTAGCTCGGTAAAAGCCAACGTTTGAGTTGGACTTATTTTTCGTATTTTCTTATGTTGTAGTGCGTTTCTAGGACTCTCTCCAGTGAACAAATTTTGTTAGTAACGCGTAGGAGAAGATACTATTTTCTTATAACAAATTCTTTATTAAAACTACTGTTTGAAGGTCCAAAGTCGAGGGTATTGGACAACTTATTTACGGTTCTAGGCTCGAATGGTCTTCATGACCATCTCACGCCCCTGGAAATTAAATATTGATTTAGATTGTAGATAAGCTTTTAGGGCATAATGACAGTTCATTATCTGAAGCTTTAAGTGTTGAGGATACGCATAACTTGAATGTGAATGCAGAAGATTTTCCAAGCAGCCAGTGTTTTCGACACTATCTGATCTGATGAATTCGAATTAGAATTACTTTTATTTTCTGTCAGACATTGCAATGTATGGAAAATGTCAAAGAAACAAAATTAATAACACTACTATATATACTATATATACTGCTTCTGGATTCCTGTTGAGTCAAACTTGCTCGCGTTTCGCAGGACGGATCTAGAAGTTTTGTAAATAGTATCACAGTTGCCTGTGTCAGTTTCTATGAAAAATTAATACTACATGTAGCTAATAACATATAAACAGAGGTAAACAACATTTTTTTTTCATAGAAATTTCCACATGCCACTGTAATAAATATTATTTACAAATCTTCTGAATTCCTCCTGTTGTCGATGAACTGAACTTGCTGACGTTGCAGTTTCGGTTAAGCTCTGAAGAAGCCAACAGGGTGATTGTGCGATACTTCAGCAAGTTCAGTTCATCGACAACCGACGCAGGAGAAATCCAGAAGATTTGTAAATAATATTTCATTGATACAAACGATCCTTTAGAGAAATTAAAAAAATCAGTAAGATTATAAAGGCACAGAAACTAATTTAGTTTGATTTTGAAAGTTTTAAGCGCTTCTTCATAGAGTCGCGAGACTTCTGTCCACAGTCTAGATGACTAAAGAGCTCTAATGTTACAAAAAATTGCGGGTGTTGTGATTATTTGTTTCACTATTTAATAATATCCGCCAAAGTCAAGAATGGCCTGGTCTTAAAATGAGGCCTACAGGTGAGATCAAGAAGCACCTGAATCATTGTTCCAGGGGCTTTGTGGCAGACTTTATTGGCCATAAGTTCATCGTCCTCGCTCTCCCGATTATCGAGAAAGAAAAGAAAAATGATCAAAATGCATTATCCTTTATGCAAGGGAACTCACCGCATAACGTCATTACGCGGAACGGCAGTACACCTTTGTTTTCTTTGTATCATAGTCCTTTTTTCTTATCATCGCTTTATCGTTATTTTCTCCGGAATAGGTTCCAAAGATTGGCAACCCGGCGGCAAGGACCGTCAGCTACTCTGCTGGGATTGCCGCGCGCACTACAGAAAGTGTAACGAGCTGCCGCCCCTCACAGCGCCCGCCGCCACCGGCAACACTCCACCCGCCGGTAGATTTATTGTTTTTTTTATGTTCTTATGTAGACAGTTATATAAAATTTTTGTCCGTTGCTTTGACTCGTTCTTCATAATAAATAGTTTTGCCTTGACCACTGACAACGGTTTAATAATATTAGATATTGATCTGGTACTGCCAGATAGGGTTACAGCTTTAAAAAGGATGAACATATATCGTCTGACATAGAAATTTCAACTCCCGTTAAATGTCTAATATTTTGCAAAATTAAAATTGGTTACTTTCTCCACGTCTTCTGTGGGCTCTTCTACGAGTGTCGTGACCGGATTCCATTGCGGCTTCCGGTGACACCACTGTAGCTCCAGGGTCGCTAATCTCTTCACTTTGTTAATTTTGTAATAAACAGTGAGCTACCCACACAGAAGCCACGTAACGCACCGCAAATTAAATAATCCATAGTTAATTTATCGTTATATGTATTTATTTATTTATGCATTTAACTTTAACTGGTAATACATAATACATAGGTACTAAAAAATTCACACAAATAGGTTCAGCTGAATAATGCTTTCACTTTCAAGGCAACACGGCATAGAACTGAATATTTGTCTTTACTTACAATAGGCCAGATACATTTGGTAGTCGAGTGTAACGATTTTAAGGCCAAATCATTTTGAAACTCAATTACTTGCATGTCTTCGGCAAAGTTCTGCATAAGACAAGTTGCAAACTGTTGGATATCAATTTCCATAAAGGGTGAAACAACACACTGCGCTACTAAAGCCATTTCGTTGAAATCCGTAAAACGATATTTGCTGTCATATGGTTCTAATGGATTTTGAGACATCTTTTCTGAAACGTTGTTTAGTTTCATGAAATTTTCACATAATGCTTGCTGATGATTAATCCAGTGGTAACAGAGAAATTACGGAAAACTTTCATCTTTACGACATAACGCCACCGGACCCTTAACAACCTACCATCGCTGGAGCTCCATCGGTTGTCAAATCTACCATTTTCGATATTGGAATTTTGTCGGAAGAAATAATATTTTTTAACAACTCCTGTCCAGTAGTGTGTCTTTTCAGTGGAATAAACTTCAAATCACTAAATCACTAAAAACTGTCCTGACTAACCACATCTGTTGATTCATCCAGTTGAAGTAAAAAATAAACACTGTCATCTAAGTCAGTTCTTAACTGTAAAAAAATAGCATTGCTCGTTACTTCTAGACGTGTTAGCAGAAAGTTGCATAGATTTTATAGCTGAAACTATTTCGTCTTTCTTTCTGAAGTTCTAAAAACGCCTGTTTTATCATTTCTCCGTCTCTGGGATACATGGTACGATGCTTCAGTTGCCGCCTTATTTTTGTCGACTGTTCTTTAAACTATTGATTGTTGTCCAATTAACTGCTTTTGTAACTGTTTCAGTTTCTCCTTTCTGGCGGCGAATATAGTGGGAATGATTTTTCAAAATTAGAATGTACAGTGTTATGATGTCTCTCAATATTTCCGTTTTTTAGCAACGGAGACCAAAGTATTACATAACAAACACAGATTTTTACCTTCAACTTCTGTCAAAAAATATTCTTCTCATTCGATCTTGTGGATATCTGTCCTCTCATGTTGTGGCGAAAAGATCTATCTCTAAGTCTTAAATACCGTTCTTCGCGATCACTAGTTCTTAAAACTCCAGTGCCCCAACGGCTCGCGTCGTTCAAATTCGCCAAACAGGATGTATTGCTCAACGATGTTTTCAGTGTCGGAAAGCTGAATAGCTGGTAACCAAATTCTTATAAAAATATTTATATATCGTACATAACTTAAGTACAGCTAAGCGGGTGTTGCAATTTCTATGGCAGACGGTTAATCACAACGTACGAAATGCCAATAACGTAATTTTCTGTCGCCGCGCAGAAGGTCCGGACGATAGTCCGCAGCGCATGCGCACCCGGAACAAGGCGGCGAAGGAGCAGCCGGCTGGTAACCGGGCGAGGCCCAAGAGAGGCGGTACCGAAACGCCGGAACCGAAGACCCCCGTCAAACAGAACTCCGGAACGGAAAAATCAGGGACGTCAAACGTGTCCTCCGGCACCCCGGGCAAGAAGAAAGGCAAACCGGACAAGTCGGACACGCCTAACAAGAACCGAAAACGGCCGCAAGAGAAGACCGAGGAAACCGAAGAGGAGAAGGAAGGGTTGTTTAAAAAGAGAAGAGAGAGAGCGGACAGTCCGTCGAATGCCACTTCGGATTCGGGCTCGTTGAACGACGAACAGGAAAGCAACGAACCGGAACCCGATGGTACCGAGTGCAACAACGGGCAAAGGTCCGGCAGTCCTCAGCCGTTGGTGCCCTCGACTACCGTCATCGGTAGTAACAACAACAACAACAACGTTATGCAAGAGGCGGTCACCGCGAAACCGACGTCTCTTATTAAGACAGAAGAGGGCGAGCTGAAATTGCATTGCGCGACTCCGTCTACGCCCACACTCGCGCCGCTAGCGTCGGGCAAGCTCCAGTCGCAACCGGTGCTGGAGCCGATGCCGCTGAACGTTTCGATAAGGCTGCCCGAGGATATTAACGAGCGCAAGAACTTAATCAAAAGGAACCTAGATTCGACCACGGACGCGAAGGAGATGAAATTCAACCCGGCGACCATCAAGTTCGGCGAGGAAATCAAAAAAGAGGCGGGGATTAAACAAGAGATGGGTCAGTCGAAGAAGGAGGACGTGAAGGACGAGATTGGAGATCAGAAACCGTTCAAAACGGAACTGATCATACCTAGAGTTACCATCGACAAGCAACAGATCAAGGACGAGTTGGACTCGAGCAGCGACGCCTCGCTGCTAAGCGTCAATTCGAAGGAGGATTCAATGCCTATGTCGTACAAGGACAACTTGTTCATGCCGCAGGGTATGAACATAAAGGACCAGATCAGTTTCGGCATGAAGGATCCGCCGCTGATGAATCACCTTCAGCCGAAACACGCGTTGAGTATCAAAGAGAACAAAGAGCAGATAATCAACATGAACCATTCGAGTTACATTAAGGATATCAAACCTCCGGACCCGCCCCCCTTCAGTTACCAAAACCAGTCCAGGGAAGCGAGCGGTGCGGGAGCGGTAATTAAGGTCGAGCCCCGCGAAGAACCTATGGAGCTGACCAGTCAGAGCAGGAGCGAGCACAATTTTAGCAACATCGTGCAACCGCTCAACATACCTCAGGTGATACCCATGTCCCAGCATTTACCTCAGACCTCCCGGTCGAGCGACGGCGGCCCATTCGACGAGGAGAAAACGAGGCAAGAGAAACTCGAACGGCCGGAACGCGTGGACAGGCCGGAGCTTTCGCAAATGCCCACCTCGTCGCCCATCGGGCAGCCGCCGTTACCGAGCCTGATGCAATCGAGCAATCTAGTCACGATAGGGGGTTCCGCCGCCTCATCCATGGCCCATTACGGGTTCATACCGCCATACGGGCATCCGCATTCGCCGAGGAACCTCGACAAGCAGCAAACGCAACACCTGCAACAGCCTCAGCAACAAAACGAACCGCAGAACTTGAAAATCAAGCAAGAAGTGCCTGAAAATGCGCCGCCCGGTCAAAGTCAGGGCGGCATGATGGGTGGTTACGGCGTCGCGAATAGCGCTCTGCCGCCTAGTTCTCAAAACTTGCCCTCGTCCGGGGGCGGTTTTATCCCGCCTCCTCCTAGTCACATGTCCGGCGCCGATCCGCTTCAAAGTTTGAAGGACGTTAAGGTTCCCGGTTATTTACCGCCGCCGCAACCGCAAACCGCTCAGTCGTCGACGTCGGACCGTCCACCGTCGGGACCGGCGATCGAGAGCATCAAAAAAGAACCGGACTACGGTGCTCTGCCGACGAGTAGGGCGAGTCCCGCGCAACCCGCGAGCGAAAAGTGCCTGACGCCGAAGACTAGCGGCACGCCTACGCCGCAAGTCATATCGCAGACCCCTCCGTTACGCCAACCGCCTTCGTCGCCCCATTCGGCCATCAACCTTATCAGCCCGAGCAGTAGCAGTAGCGGCGGCGGCGGCAGCGGGGCTAGTATCGGCCACCCTTCCGTTTCGCTACCTCAACCCCATCCAAGTCAGCCGCATCCCTCGTACCCAGGCTCGATGCCGCCGCCGCATCCCCTGGTCCATCCTTCGTTTCTCCACGCGATGCCGTTTCACGGCCCGCCCGGTTATGCCGCGTATCCTTTTTCCGCCTACCCGTATCCTTATCCGGTGCCCCAGCCTCACGCCATTCCTCCGCCTACGTCTCGACCCGATATGGGCGGTCCTCCGAAAAGTATCGATACCGTCAGCGCTACCGTGATGTCGTCGCAGCATAGCACTAGCAGTACCGTCACTACCAAGCGCGAGACTAGGGAACCCGACGAGCACGGCGGCGAACGCCACCAGAGCCACGAAATGACGCTAACGCATCACCAGAGCACCTCCCACAACAGGTCGTAAATTCGAACTAACGCGGTTATAGCTAGACGGTTTTTTTAATCCATTTTAGTTCGATCCACGCGAGCGTCGAGAAGCAAAACTACGGAGGCGGCAGCCACAGCAGCATAACCATATCGCACAGCACGAGCACCAGCTCGAGCCAATCGGTGCAGCACAAAGTTAACCAGAAGACGGTCCGCACCAGTTCACCGCACACGCCCATATCTCAGACCAGCACCACGACGAACATCAATCACAGGTGAGTTTACGGGTATAATGCGACCAAAAATATAGTGCATTTATTGTTTTGACGTCTTAAGTATTTTACAGTACCTTGGACCTTGGTAAAACCTGCAAACTTGAAATTTTTATTTGAAACGTAAATGGACCGCATTAAATTTGATTAAGCATTGATGCCGTGGGGTACTTTCGAATAAGTAGAAGCGTTTATTTTAGCATCCGGTGACATGTATCATTCTTAAGACTTATAATAATAATAATAAATTGCCTTTATTGTTGTATAGTGCTATATACAAATATACAGTAGAGAAGAGGCGAAGTTTAGCAAAAGCTACTCCACTTAATCTCTTGAATGTTTCAATTGAAAACTAAATAGGGAGTTATAATTAAATTGATAAAGTAATAAATGTAATAGTAATATGGAACAATAGAAAGTTATTAAAAGTAAAAATAAAAATAATAATATTGAATATGAAATGTTTTTTAAATAATTTAACTGAACATAGGTCGAAAATAAATCTTTAATATATGTATTGTAGTATATTGTATATACTATGTAGAAATGTAATGAAACAAAACGTAATAAATTGTTGAAGATTGAAAACATACTTATATCCCGCTTGTTAGTGTAGGTTGATAAATTCCTAGAACGGTCCTGGAATGGTTACGGGTGAGGGTCTGCTCTGCAGCGTGTTCTATAAGGGGCTGCGGATTTGAAGTAATAAAAAGTAGGCAAAGTTAATCTCGGGGGTCGGTTGTAAAAGCACTATATTTCTGGTCAAAGTATACCGTCAAACTGTTCGCGACTTTGAATTGTCCCCGTTAATAGTTCAACGAGTTCCACCAACAATCACCAACACACTCATCATCACACGCATCACCACGACCGACTGTCTCCGGGCAATCAACTGTTGAGACACGGAATGCACGGTAAACCGCCGTCGGCGGCGGCGTCGCAGGCCAACCCGCACCATTTGATGATCCAGCCTCCGAACATGGGTCATCACCCCTCCGCGTTGGGTCCGCCTCCCATGCCGGGCAGTTCGTTGGACGCGTTAAGGGCTCACGCCGCCCAAGCTGCGGCGAACATGCAGCAGCAGCAGCAACAACAGGCGGGCATGCATCCGCCGAGCTCGCCGATGAACCCGCCCCCGAAATCTCTCGTAGACGAGGTGGTAAAGATCGAACCCGACCAAGACTCCACTCCGGAAGACGACAACCAAAACAGCCCTCTGGCACCGCCCAGGGGCCCGTCTCCCGAGCCTCGGATAGAAGACACCGAGTGTCACAGAAGTCAGTCCGCGATATTCCTGCGTCACTGGAATCGCGGCGACTACAACTCCTGCACGAGAACGGACCTCACTTTTAAACCGGTGCCCGATTCGAAATTGGCGCGGAAACGCGAGGAGAGGTTGAGGAAACAGGCAGAACGGGAACGGGAAGAAAGGGAGAGGGCGCAGCAGGCGCAGGCGCGGAAGATTCAGACTCCGGAGAAGCCGGACGTCAAGCCTCCGTCGAGGGGGCCGCTGGAGAGCATATCGTCGCCTTACGAAAGGTTCCCGAGGCCGGGATTCACCGATACGCCCGCACTGAGGCAATTGTCCGAGTACGCCAGGCCCCACGCGGGATTCAGCCCCGGCCACATGCCCAGGTACCGTGCGTTCAATTCGTCTTAATAATATTTTAGTTGGCTGTCACGTTTTTGTTTTTAGAGGTATTAAGGTAAACAAAAAAACAAAATATGGTGTTAGTTTTTCCCGAGTGATATATAAAACAAAACACAATCAATTTTCTGACATTTATGCATCATATTTTTTTAAAATGAAACACCCTGTATATTATATATGTAGTTAATAGAATCTCTTATTCCGACTACAATGATGGAACTCACATTATATTTTAGTCAACTCGTTTTTGACAAATCAGCAAAAAGAGGGAATTTTTATATAATTTCAAAGAATGCCCTTACTGACAAATGAAAATATGTTTATATTTGACATATTGGTAAACAAAGTTGATGGTTGAATTATTGTCCAAGTTATTATTGTTATTGTGAATTTAGCATCCGTGACAGAAGCTTTATGCTTCAATTCTACTTTCTAAATAATAAAAGCGCAACCGCCGCTCATCGTCAGTATATTAGACTTTGTCCAGGCTGCCCTCCTTTAAAGGCTGACAAAAAAATTACAGAAAACGGTAACGTATTAATTGTTAAAAAGTTATGCCGAAATCACTATGTGTAGAATAAAGAAAGTAAGGCAAAACATGTTAGTTTACTAGGGTATACGAATAGATAGGTATTTTTCGGGACCAATCCGCTCAGTTTTGAAAGAATATAAATATAATGCATTCCAATGCACAACAATGTCAAAGGAGGATGCAGTTTTGTTTGGAATTGTTAACTAGAAATAATGAGAATAATAATTTTTTGAAAAACATTTTATGAACCGTTGAATGTTTCGTTCACTACAAGATAAGGTTGTTGTCAAAATAAGCGATATTGGTCGTTATATAATCCTGACAAATACACGTTATTTGCAACTCTAAGAGCACCAAATAGAACAATATATAGAAGATGTTGACTATCGTTTTTTAAGATCCCTTCTACCTCCCACCGTGATGGATCCGATGCTGCAGTACCAGCTGAGCAGCATGTACGGACCCGGAGCTAGGGAGAGGCTCGAACTCGAGCACCTCGAACGCGAGAAACGTGAAAGGGAGATCAGGGAGCTGAGGGAGCGAGAACTGAACGATAGGTAATTGTCTAAAGCGGGGTTCAACTGTCGTCGGTAGTTCGTGTGCCTAATTCTGTTTCTTTCTCTTCTATATATCTGCATGGTAGTTTACTAAAAGCTCAAGACCCGCATTACTTTTACGGTCACCTTTCTCACAGACTCAAGGAGGAGATTATGAAGAGCGGTATGCGGGCGCCGCCGAACGCCGTCGACCCCCATTGGCTTGAAATTCAGAGGCGGTACGCGGCGGCCGGACTGGCCGGACCGCCTGGCGGTCCGCCCGGCCTTCTCCCGCACCATTTCGCTTTGTACCCGGGTGGTAGCGGGGCGGCCCAACTGAGCCAAATGGAACGGGAACGGCTCGAAAGGCTCGGGATCCCGCCGCCGGGTGCGCCCGGCGGTCCCGGCGGTCCGCCCCCCGGCCACCCGCACCATCCCGCTCACGCCGCCCAATTGGAGGCGGCTGAGCGGCTGGCGCTGGCCACCGACCCAATGGTAAGTGTCTGTGACGAACGCCCCGCCCCCCTCGCGTCGCGCAAACGGTCTTATCACGTGATGTTCGACGTGCTGTTAAAGGTGAGGCTGCAGATGGCGGGGATCTCGCCGGAATACCACGCCCACACACACGCCCACACCCACGCGCACACCCACCTCCATCTCCACCCGCAGCAGCAGCAGGCGCAGCAGGAAGCTGCCGCGGCGGCCGCCGGTTTTCCTCTCCCAGGTAAGATTAGGGCAATCGTGATAAATAATAAATAATATTCGTCGAATATGTGCAAAATTATACAAAACTTTATGACAAAACACGATATACAACATGTATGTGATTTCATAATACCCAAAAAAAGTATTACAAGAATTCTTATGTGTATTCAAAAAAATTTGGCTTTGCATAGTTTGTTTTATAATAATAATAATATAATAATAAATACATTTTTTGCTTTGCCAAATATACATATTACGCTACAAAATATTAGATGGTACCACTTTTAAGGTAAACAGAAAGCCCAATAAAACGCAGACATCCAGCAAAGCCAAAGAAAGAAAGAAAAGAAAAGAATTGAATAAAAAAAATAAATATGTTGCGCATGTACATTAATCATTAAATATAATTTTCAATAAAGAGAGAAGTCGCAGGATACAGGAGAAAGGGGGATAAGGGTAAACAGCAGAGTTTTCCCATACAGAAATTATTGAGTTCTGGTTTTTAAAAGTTTTGGTTGATATTGTTAAATCGAAAAGACTTAAATGATGAAAATGATCTTTTAAACATTTCTTTTCGATGTCGTGAACATGTGCACGAAAAGTGATTTTGGTAAAAAGATATTCAGGAGATTTATACTTAATTAATTTAAAATATAACAAAGCACAGTCTAACCTAAGCCTATTGCACCTGTGAAGCCAATCCGAAAGAGCCAAGTATGGAAAAATGTGATCCTGTCAGCGAACTCTATAAACAAGCCACGAACATGAATTTTGTATTTTCTGGATAAGATATTAGTCAGTAGCATCCAGGCAGGTTGCATACACACTACAGCAATGATTTCCAAAGTAGTTTCTTTGTAACGATTGGAAGAAAATGTCTATGACTTTATATTAAGTTTAAATACCCATATGCTATTCTCGATTTGTTTGTAATGCGATGGTTGAGCCGCAGCCTAAACTCTAGGCACTAGAGTGCAAGATCAATCCTAAAATTTCGATGTATCCAAGTATGGTATAGAAGTGTCATTAATTTTTATGATCATTTTGTTATTGACATTATGTACCTGAGAGTCATTTCCAAAAACCAACACCGACAATTTAATTGGATTTAACTGCTAGGATGCAATTTTATAAAGGTCTTTGAATCAGTGTTAGTCTCAGACTGCGTCATTTCATGATCTTGAAAAGAAAAGTAATTTCGAGTGTCGTCAGCGTATAGGTGATAATTGCAATATTTTAAAGTATTTACAAAGTTAAATTACAAAGTCGTATAGAGTTTATACTCTACTAAGTTGTGGTACACCTGACTCAATGAAGAGTGGTTCGGAATACACATTGTCACTAAACCAAATGTAGTGTAAAATTGAAATAAGCAATTTATGCAGCATTTACAGCAGTAATATCGACCAAAGCACTCTCACATCTATAATCTTTTTTAAACCCAGATTGTTTTGTAGGTAATATATCAAAATAAAATATATAAAAATTGAAAAATATTACTTATGGTTTTCGTGGTTGAATGATTAGTAATTACAACTCCCGTTGCTGTTAAAAGCAGCGGCGTGAGAAAATTATGCTTTGATACATCGCATGACGACGTCATTAGTTTGAGAAAATAAAGGTTTTTCTTCGACAGCCACCGGTACTCCGGGTTACCCTAGGCCGGGACTGATACCTGGCAGGGACGGACCGCTGGCCTTGCACCATCCCGACCTGTTGGGGCGGCCCTACGCGGATCAATTGGCCCACCAGGTAAGTGTCCTACCTGTAGAGGGGCGGACCATGACGGGGCAACGTTGATTTCTTGTTGTTGTTCAGGCCGCAGCCCACGAACAGCTGCAGAGGCAGATGCTGCTCGAACGAGACCGCTTCCCGCCCCACCCCTCGATCGTTGCGCAACACGAGGAATACCTAAGGTCCGTCTTTCTATTTCGCACTGGTTAACTATTTAATGGTCTGTGTTTGCGAATTCGTTTAAATTGTCGTTAACAAACTGGAAAACCCGAGAAAAGTCTGGGCTTCTCTGAATGGTCAGGAAACCGCGGCAAATAATTCGATTTTTTTTGTATTGCTAAAAAATTTTACTTAATATTAATAAAAACACAACAATAAAAAGAAATAATTATTACGAACATCAAACTTTAATACAATAGAATTATTATACAGGTGGGTGTTCACAAAAAACTATATTTACAAAAAGTTTTTAATTAAATCATGGAAACGGTTTAAAATGTAGAAACATTTTGAAATAATTATATTTAATTAAAAGTATCAATTTAACAAAAAATAGTTATTTATTTCATATAAACTAAAACAAAATAATGTTGCCGGATTTTTTAAAATATTTAAGTTTGTTTGCTTGAAAGAAACGAAATAGAACAATAACACAGTTTTTATACATCCAAAATATCACTCTGCTCTGTTTTTGTTACAATTTTTGCATTAGCCATAGCTCTAAAAAAGTTAAACCATTCCTTTGCAATAAGAGCCTTCATTTAAGGTTAAGGTTTTGATTCATAATTAGTCTTAGTGTCAAAAGAGCATGACAACCCATAGTAAACAAAAGTTATGACACTATTGAAATGCCAAAAATAATATCAATGTCTTGCATGAATCAAACTTAAGTTGCACTCTCGTTCTATAAAAAAAATTATATATTAATAGGTCAAAACTTATAACGAAAAACATGTTTCTTCTTTTTTTTTGCCCACCCGACAAGTTATTTAAAAATTATTTTAATAAAATGGAGCAGGTGGGAGCAATATTGTGTCTTCACGTAGCACCACAACATGTTACTTCAATAAATAGTATCAACAGCATCCCTAAATTATGCTCAAATTGTAACATATTGCTTAATAAATTACAAACAGATTTTTTGGGCTATTTTTTTAATGCTACTCAAAACAATGTAGATTTTTTTTAAGGATAATTGCCTTTTAGAGCATAAAATTAGTCTCAAAACTTACCTTTACTGGCTTCCTGCATTTTTAATTTTGTCAAAAGCTAATTTCTTTTAAAAAATCCGCTCCACTTTTCACACGGAAAAATGTATAAATAAAGCATTACAACAAACGTTACAAAATTATTGTTGACGTTTCCATGGTAGGAAGACGACTTAAATCGCTTGTTTTGTGAAGGTTCATGGCTTACTTAATTAGTCTGTGATGAGGAAAACGTTCATTGCACGAAATGTATTATGGGTTCATTTCAATAGCTTCCTGGCTCACTGTACGGCGTGGTCCATTTAATATGCTCCTATACCGAATCTCAATAAGTACGACCCTGAGTAAGAAAAGTGAAATGCAAAAAGCGTTTGACCCTAAGTATACAGGGTTATTCACGATGAGTGACCTATTAGACGGTAAAAACCTGAAATGTTGGTTACTTATATAAACGCGGTGTTGGCAGATATACTGGTATCGTATATCGACTTACATGTTTAGATTCTGCGGAAACATTCAGCTACGTGGCAACGATTTGTATTCAGAATGTGTAGAAAATTTAATATACAATATCCACATTTACCACCAATGTATGAGAAAAACTTTAATAGAATTGAAGCAAAATTTCCAAACCTATGAAGAAGGGAACTTCCAAAATCTGTTACAAACTCTGAAGATAATGAAACCAACGTTTTAGCATATTTTCATGCATCTTATTTATTACACGTAGAGTTTTGTGCGATGATATTGGAAATATATATTTCCATTAATTGATACTCTGCTGACGATATTGAAGAAGGGATTGCTTTTCAACCAAATAGTGCGGTATATGATACCGTTGTGCCTGTTAGAAATTGTAAGGGACCATGGATTGGCCAGGGAGGAGCCCTGACTTGACACCCCTGGATTTTTTTTAATATGTACTAAAATAGGTGACTTAAAAATGAGAATTCGGCCAAAAAAAAATAAATTAATAAATTAAATTAAAGAATATGAAACCAATAGGTCGTCGTAAAAGTAAAAGGACTGTACCAATTCCAGATCACGACTATGGCAACAGACATACGTAAGGGGAAATAGTTGCGTGTGTGGCCTCGAGTGATGCAACTTTATATGTTATTCTGTCTACTTTGCTGTTAGTAGTTAAGATTGACCGGTTCTAGATCAAAATCATGTGATCACTCTTTATCCATTTTATATGGGTGAGTTCTCTGTACGTAGCTTCTCAATACGAGAGTGTGATCACAGGGATCATTAAACGGGGGGGACAACTTAAAGGTTATATGGTAAAATATTCGATTTTTAACACCTGGACATCTCGAATTAGGGTCACATTAATTTACCTGCAAGAATAATAAATAAAATAACAAATTCAAAAACACTATCTATTTTCAGCTTCGACTTTGCCATCAACTGTTCGAAAAAAAAAACAATCTATTTTAATTACTAAGGCACAGGTTAAGTCATGTCGGAAGTTAAGTTTTACGGTTCAACAAATGATTATAACTCTCTAGCATTAAATAAACCGAGCATATTAATTTAAAGAAAGAGGGGGGCAGGGTTTTATTCGTTTTAACCTGAAAAACTTATAAAAGTCGAATTTAAAAGTGGACTTGGAAAGAAAAGAGAACAAACAATGCTTTAAATTAACCCAAAGTCAAGGAATTCAATAAGCCAAAACTTTTCCTCTTAATGACGAGGCGTGTTCAAAAAGTAAAGTGACTTTTAAATTTTATCAGAGTGTATTTATTGAATAATAAATAATAAAATATAAAAAATGGAAATTCGCAGTAGCAATTTCAGTTCAATTTCTACAAGAATAAACTAGTAGTAGATGAAAGCCTGACGAGAACAAAAAATGTATACAGGGTGTTTCAACTATCGGAAAACGTTAAAAAAACTAATAGTTTGATTAATATTAATATTAATATAGTAATTTCGAAGTTAAATTTTGTCAGCAGTAACTTTTATGTCAAAGTTGAAAATATTTGTGGTATTAAATTTCATTTAGGTGTCTTAGACCATATTAAACCCTTTTTCCCTTTGACCCTTTTTTGAAACACGCCGTATATGTGTATCTTAACGTTAAAAAAAAAGTGCTCATTGAACAAGTTGTCGCTTTTAGAAACGCATTTTTATTTTAGTTCATCGGTGTTCAATCTTAGAATTTTAAAATAGTAATTTTTGCATTTTAGGCAGCAGCGCGAGCGAGAACTTAAGGTAAGAGCGCTCGAGGAAGCGGCCAGGGGCTCGAGACCATAAGCGACGGTAAGTCTCCCCGATTCTGCCCAACCCGTTACCGTCACGGGGGTGGCGGTTAAATTGCAGATGGTACCTGACGATCGGGGTCGGGTCAGGTGTCGACAGCACGAGTGGGAACGTATCTAACTAAGAAAACAAATATCACTTCTCTTAGGGAGTCAAGTTCAAGAGAAAAAAGATATTTCAGAAGGAGAGTAGATCCTATAAATTTATATACATAAATATTTATATATATACATATTACTTGACTACATAGACGTATACATAGAAATTAATTTTTTAAAGTATATTTTGCAATCGATAGAATATAAAAGAATAGTTTTTTGTATGCCGCCTGTGGATTTTAGTGTTAAACAGTTTGAATGAAACTTATTTATTATCCCCCTCCGATTTTAAGAGTGCGGAAATAATAAAATCGAAATCAGTATAGGTTATTCCGCGAGGTATTGTAAAGTGACCCCAAACTGATCCCTATCCGGAAAGACCCTGAAAAATTGTAAGTAGGGACCACAATAGGCGTAAGTTTTATTTCTATTGCCTTTTTATGGATACTATTAACTAATTGACTAATCTCGGAAGAGAGGGTCTATTTTAATAGTGATAGTAAGATTATTTAAAGAATATATGTCTTAATGCTTTCGCTATAAAGGACTTGCGGTGATTTTTTTTTGTCACGTATTTTGATGATGCATAAAGAACACCTCACGAAATGCATGGTGAAGTAGACTTCCATTAGAGTAAATTCGGAATATATGGAACACCAGTTATTTTAATAGTGATAACATTAAAATGAAAGTGTTCAAAGTAGCTCCAAAGAGTGATACTTGCTAAATTAAAAATTAATATATTCGGTAATTTTCAAAAAATATTACAAAATGGACGATAGATATAAAAATGTTTAGATACTTACTAAAATCATTTCAATTCAAAACATCAGACTGACAAACAATACATATCTAAGAATCGCAAAAATCTCAAACAAAAACATCTGTTTCTGCACTAGGACAAGGTTCATGAACCCATCCCTTTTTCTCTAAAGGAATAGTTATTATTTGTGGAAGTAAAAAAGATCCCTTGCTTTATACTCAGCAGGTAATATGGAATAGCAACAGCATATTATATGCTACACAAAATGTAAACAAAGCAAGTTCCCTATTTTTTATTAAGGAAAATATTGAAGCAAACGACTAAGATTTACGCCTTGTAATGCCTAAACACACTTACAATGTATTCACAACAAATAACAAACAAATGTAGTCTCCAAACGATTGTAACTGACATCTTGCACAAATACGTGGAAATTATAACCTCAATTTTTTTGGCGTTGGTGACGTATTGGTATTGGTATTAAAGGGGGCGCCTTCGCTGGCGTCCAAGTACTTAGGTCACCACATGGGTCCATTGTGCCCCCAGGCTGCTCTAGAGGGCATCCAGAATGCCACCCCTCCTATAGAAGGTCAGCAACTCCTTTAGCCCAATACCGTGCACTGAGTCCGTATCGATCAGGGCCGTTCCTATCCGCTGCATGATCCTTCGGCCCCAGGCCCCCTACCGCTCTCCGGCACGCCCATAGAGCTCCAAAGGCCGACCTGGTCCTTGATCTTATATGTTCCTGGAAGGTCAACTTAGAGTCCAACCATACCCCCAAGTACTTGACACTTCCGCTTGCAGAAAGAGGCACCCCATCCATCGAAATGTTGAGGTTGCACTCCATCTTCCTTTTTCTGGTGAAGATGGCCATCTCCACCTTGCCAAGATTGACAGCCAACTTGCTGTCCAGGCACCATTGTGAGAATCTTGCCAATGCCCCGTTCAGGAGCCCCTGCATCCTCCTCACGTCCATCCCCTGTATCATTATCACAAGGTCGTCTGTATATGCCTGAGCATAGACCCCGTGTTCTTCCCTCAGAATGTGCGTTGGTGACGTATAGTGGCAATTGTATTTTAGGAGTCCAAAGCTTTCTAATAACGCCATCACCTTAGAGATGGAGCCACCTGTTTTAAAATTATAAAGAATTCCATACGTAGCTACTTTACTTTTTAACTGCACTTGATATCCAAAGAACTACGCTTTTTTAACATAAAATCGTGTCATTTTACTTAATAAGTAGTTTTTTTTTTCACAAATGTACCCATAAAACGCTTTTTTCCGAAACTTTTACAGCCAATACCTCAGAAACTAAATGTTTATTTAACAATTATGGTAACACGCTGAAATTTCGTTAAAAGTCCACTTTCTCATGTATTTAAAGGATAATATAAATATTAGTATAAAATATTTAATATAAAATTTCAAATTTTAAGAATAAAGATATAAATTAAAATCATTTCTTTTACATATTGGCAAAATTATTTACATAAAAAATGTTTTCTTTATTTGAAAAAAGTAATTCCCGGAATAAAAAAAAGATCATTTGAAAGTCCTGCAATCAAATATTAGGTAAAAACGACCGCGTATTGATGTAATTTTATTTTTTCCGCATCGATTATTGATTGTAAATAACTTTAATCAAATTTAAGATTAGTACCGTCGATGAGTTTCTTTTTTAATGGGTTATACCATATGCACCAAACGGTGAGTGCTGTCTAGGATTTTTCGCATTATCCACAATTCGTTTCGACAAAAAGGAAAATTCTAAGCTGGCTGTAATATTATATACAATATTATTTTATCGATGAGGGAGAAAGAGGCGCCCCCTGTTTACCGCGATGCTACAATTATGAAATATATTTTGAAAACGCTTTAAGCAAAAGTAAATTGTACAGTCTTCCTGTTTTTTTTTTGTAAAAAGAAAAAAATTAATCAACTCGCCTGTGTACAAATCATTGTGTATATTACATTTTTCTAGGACGCGAACTTTGTAGCGAAACTTTTATCTGAAATTTTGTAGGAGTGATTTTTTTTCTCCCCTCCCCTATGTTCTTTGTCCCCCGTCCCCGTTTTTTAGTACTTACCCTGTATTTTTTGTGTACATTTTTTGTTTATATATATATTTTTTAATCTAAACGCTGTCAATAAATGTTTTTATCAAATTGCGGTTGTTTTAAACAGCTTCTGGTTAAGGTAAGTGAAATCATTCTCTCCGAAAAATACAAATACATAATACAATAATACGTACAATACATACATACATAATAATAAATAATGCAAAAAATACAAAGATATTGCTCATTTGAAATTCAAAAGATGTGATTTTATGTAGATTGAAATAGAGTTTTTCAGGACTCAAGATTTCATTCCTCCGAAGTTCTATGCGTACGAAGCTCCAAGTATTCATTAGTGTTGTAAAAGGCATCCTGAGTAAAAAAGTGCGGCATTTAAGTCATCCGTTTATGAAACACTTGTTACCCAATACCTGTTTTGCAAAGCAAAACAGGTATTGGGTATTTTATAGAAGGGAGGGGGAAAAATTGTTTAAATGTGTATTTCTGAGATTAGACGGGAATGAGTACGAAAAAAGTGAAATACACAAAGTGTTTGACCCTAAGTGTATATTGTATTATAATTGTATGTGTACCGTTGTTCCAGAACAGTAACCAACTTTTTTTTAATGAGTAAAATTGGGAATTTTTATTCTGGATCCATTCTGAATAATATTCTTTTTTTTTTTTAATGGAACATCCTGTATATCTTTTATTACAAAAATTGGTAGTTTGGAAGTTATGGTCAATTTCCTGCAATAACTCGTATATTTTAGTTTAAGTTTAGCTAAACCTATACAATATCCTAGTCTAACAAAGTTTTTTTTTAACCATTAATTACTTAAATTTAATATCAAATCAACAAGTAATGCACGTAAATAGAAATTATAATATATATGATATATAGTATGATTTCTGATAAGGGGAAGGTCGCGTATACTGTTACGAATGTCATCTATTATTTGTGTCCAAGTACTAAAGTACTGTCATGGCGGTTTAAAGTAATGCGTCACACTGAAAATACACAGTAGCTTGTAATGGATAACAGCACTTTATTTATTCAGTACCTTCTAAACTGAGAAAAATTCAAATGTTAACGCCTAAATCTTTAAGGCTGTACAAAAGGGCTAGAACGATAGGTCGATTGCGAAGCCGAATTAACAGCATGGAGAAGAAATTTGTTGCAAAACAAAAAAATGAACCAAGACGTTGAATCAATAATACATGCATCGTCAAACTATTTGGGTAAAAAAGCTCTAATATTATTTGCAACCCACTTACGCTTATCTGTGAAGAACAAATACGCTAAACTCTACAGTAACGATGTAAAAGATATTGCATTGTCAATAAAATATTCCCCCAAGACTTATAAGCTGCTGGCGAAATTTCTATATATACCAACTATAAGGACTTTGAATGAATACCAGAAAGATTTTCCTACCACCCCAGGATTAAATTAGACTGTATCAAATCAACTGAAAGATACGTTTCTAAAAGGCACTCCTGAGGATCGTTTTATTCGACGAAATAAGTTTAGCTACTGAAGTCCACTATGAGACATGTTCCATGGTTATGCTGGTGATGGAGAATAGCGTACAAATGGAATAGTCCATTGTGCATTAGTAGCAATGATAAATTCGATTAATAAACCAATGAAGTAAACGATTGGATATTGGTTGGTTCATCAGACGTGATCTCAAAAAGACTGTTACTGTAACATAAAAAAAATAAACAACATGAAATTGTCTAAAATCGCAAAATCAACTACTGAAAAAATACCAATGAAAAGACCAAAGCAAAGTAACGACCAAAGAAAAGAAATAGAGGATAAAGTACCATTAAAAAAATCAAACCTAAGTGAGGAACATTAAAAAAAAAGTTAGGGAAAAGATTGAGTAAAATATATATATTTTAGTTATCTGCTGTAAGCAAAAATATTTTTATATGTATTATTTAATTGTTAAACTCTTATATACGTTAAACCATATTTTGGTATCTACATTTCTTTTAATAAAATTTATGTTTTCATATTACTAAGTGCAATGAGAGATTTTCAGCTGTATCAGCAGTGATTTGAAAAGGAATATGTTTTTTGAAAAATTTTATTATTATTTTATTTTTTATTATTACAATTATGAGAGCACACCAAGTTTTATATTATGTTTTTGAATAGAATAAATTTTATAGCATATCAAATATGATATATAATTATTTGTATATTATATATTATTAATATAAATATATAAAATAGTTTCATTGTTTTAAGATTATCATTTAATCATTTTTTATTTCTATGCATTTTCAGATATTTATTAATTTAATAAATTTCAATAATTTTCAACTATTTCCACATACATTATTTTTTCCCACTTTACCTTTCAAAATTTAAATTGAATTGAACCGTACGTCTGCTCGTTTTCCGTTTTCATGACGACACAATTTTAACATTGCCACTAACGGGAGCCTTCCCCTCTATCTTACACTCTTTGGTTTCTGCGTATTAGTATTTTTAACCGCGTCTGTTATATTAAGTCTTTCTACCTCTTTCCGAATTCCAATTTTTAAGCATTGAACATAACATTTTTACAACTTATCCATGAAAAAAAAGAACTAATAAGATTGTTGCTTGGACAGAAATACAGAGTTTTTATTTGACATTTAGTTATTGAGAGAATATGGGTATCTTGCAAGACGGGTAGGTACCCACAAAATATTTTTTTTCTACTCCCCTCTTTAAAATACCTGATTATACACCGATCTAGCGTGCGGGAAGCGTCACTTTACCACGTCAGTTTCGTTCCCCACGAATCGGAGCCACTTCGGACATTTCCGGGATTTTACCGCACGGATTTGGCAGCAATCGGATGTTTTCGGAGATATTTCCCACGCTTTGAATTTTGACGTTTGTTAATTCTGACGGCCATGTCAGTAAGTGTATTCCTGTTGTTTTGCGAAAGTGTACCCAAAAACTAGAAAAATTA